AGAGTGCTGTGATGGCAGGCGAGCCCCACCACACCCGGCTAATGCTGCTCATGTTTTGATCAGGGCATTTCTCCCAAGGTTGCCCTGCCCCTCCTGCAGCCCCTGTGTGCGAGCTCACTACAGTAACCCGCTATCCACCCCTGTCTTGCAGGGCCCGCGGGGTGCGGCTGCTCGGAGAGATGCCGCAGGGGGACCTGCATGCGGCCCTGAGGCGCTGCTGCGCACTGGTGAACAGCTCCGTGTCGGAGGGCATGTCGGCCGCCATCCTGGAGGTAACGGGGCTGGGCACGGGTGTCCACACCGCTCCTACTTGTGGTCACGTCTGGCACCATGAAGCGTCGCCCGTGGGGTTTGAAGTTCCTGTGAGGTTCCTCTCGCGACTCAGAGCCGTCCAGTCACTTCCGGTGGCTGTTTCTGGTGCCAGCCACGGGATGAAGGGACGCTGGGGCAGCGCCGCCTCTGAGCCCGGGTCCTTTGGGCAGGAGGCGCCGAGGTAGGACCGGCGGGGCCAGGCGGTGAGGACGCTGACCCCACAGGAAGCCGCCTCTCACTGGCCTGGTCTCTCCCTGGTGGGCTGCGCGGTGACCCCAGAGCCCGGTAAGGACTGAGGGCTGCACTAGTGCTTGGGGGCGGCCGTGGGGACAGAGGGCGCAGCCGAGCTCTTCCTGTCGCGGCGCTGGTCTGCTCCAGCTGGACGTCACCTTCTGGCCCAGCTCTGCAGCCCCACATCTGTGGGCTGGGGCGGCCATGAGAGGCCCTGCTGGCCGTGGCCACTCTTGGGAAGGACGCAGCCCTTGCGTCCCCCCTGCATGTGACCAGCAAGGGCATGTGCAGTGTGGTGGGCACAGCCTGGGTGCAGGGCGCCCTGTCCAAGCCACGCCCAGCCCACTCTTCACGTCACCCAGCATGCAGGGTCTCCGGCAACTCCCAGCAGGGACAAACACGCTCACACACACGTGTACACACATGTGATGAAACCTGCACAGAAAGGAGGGCGCCTGGCTGTCGGAGCCCAAGTCCCCAACTCGGAGGCCCCAGTGTTTACCTGGCCTGTGCCGCCTTCCTCCCGCGAACACCTGTGACATCAGCCGTGGATCTCGGGACAGCATCAAACGGAATTTACTGACAGAAGTGTAGCTCACAAGCCTTAGTGTCAGAAACTGGTTAATAGAGTCAGAAAAAACCCTTTCCCAGGTTTGAAGAAATAATTGACTTTTTAGGTCTGATTCTTTTAATCAGGCATCATTCAAAAAAGAATGAAACCTGAAAAACCAAAGACATAGGACTGGACCCCTGCGTGAGAGCTCAGGGCGGGCGCTCTGTGGCGCGGCTGTGTGGTCTTCACCACCGTCACCTCCAAGCGAGTCACTGTGTGTCCCATGGAGCAAGACACGTTTCTCCGCATGTGAGCCCCAAACGTGCGTTCGGGAGGCCAGCCACGCTCAGGCACCAGCCACACGGCACCTGTGTGTGTGAACACACGCTTCTCCTGCTTCTTAGGGGACAGCACGGAGTAGTCACACGGGGGCCGCAGACCTCAGCCGTGGGACGCTCACGGCGAAGGAGGCAGCTGCTGCGGTTCATTTCCAAAGTCCAAAGCCCTCTGGGCGGAGGGTTTGAGTGGAGCTGATTTCAGAGGCGTGGCGAGGGCGCGTGGTCAGCAGCGACGCAGAGCCAGAGCGTGCCCCACGGGCCCATGCAGCGCCTCGGAAGGAAGCGATCCTCGACCCCGCGGTTTGCTGTTGTCCCGGGCGAGTGTGAAAATCCCATCTGCTGGAACATTTCTTTCCGGTCAGCTCGCAGAGCTGCTGGCGGGACTTGGGGCAAGAGGGCGAAGACCCCGAAACACAGATTTCTTCCAGCTCAAGGCTGAGTTCAGTCTGCACAGTGGAAACCTCAAGGAACTGTTTCCTTGTCCCAGTCCAGTTACTCTGCTTCCACGGCCTCAGCACACACGCGCGCACACACACGGGAACACACACACGGGAACACACACACGGGAACACACACAGACACACAGGCACACACAGGCACATACATGACATGCACACACAAGACGCAGAGGGACACAGACAGACCCACACAGACAGACATACACAGACACACAGACACATAGGCACACACAGAGAGACACATACAGGCACGTGCACACAGGCACACACATGCACACACACACACAGGTGTGTGCTGTCGTGTCTCCATGGCTTCCGTGCCAGGGAAAGTTGAGCTCATCTCTGAAGCTAAGGCGAGGGCCGGCTCCGGCCCTCCGCGCCTGCCAGCCTCAGCTGAGTCAGCTCGAGGCACCATGGCGATGTGACGTCCTGCCCTCGACAGCTCTGTGCGGCAGCACCAGTCCTGTCCACTGACGTTTCGGGCCTTCTGTCCTTCATGCCAGGGAGATGCTGCCAGCACATTGCGGGTCTTGGAGCTACAGGGAGGGGGGTGCTGTCCAGGTGCTCAGCAGCCCTTTACATGGAGGAATTGCGTCCCGTCCCATGGCACCACCCCCAGGGAACACTCCCACACACCCTAGCAGTGCGGGATCCATCATCCTTCTGTGCGCCTCAGCCTTCCCTGCTGCCCCACAGCGGGCCCTGCAAAGACACGCGGCTTCCCCGCGGTTCTCGCCGGGGCTGCTCCCCTCCCCCACTGTCACAGCCGGCAGCCCTGTCCCTGGGCCTTCGGTTCCTAGAGCGCTGCCCCTGGGTTTCTGTCTGTGCAACACCCTTCCCAGCCTGAGCACGGGTTCCCTGGGAGGTGGGGCCTTGTCCTCTGCCACCGAGTCCCCTCCCCGTGAACCAGTGGACCCCGCACCCTTCACTCAGCCCAGGAGCTGTGGACGTCGGGAGGAGCCTGCCCGCTGGGCTCTGGTGCAGAGCGGACCAGTCCCACCAAAGTCCCTGTGGAATTTGTCATGCACGCAACACACCTGCACGCGTATGCACATGCATGTACACACCCCCCCACAGGCATGCATGCACACCCACACATGCACATGCGTGCTCCCCCTCCATGTGTTCACACTGACACCTCAAATCTAACCCTCTTCACATTTGCCTGTTCTCCTCCCCCCGCCTAACCCCGGTTCCCAAGGGCCTGGCCGGCGAGCGTGCCCAGCATGACTTCAACCCTGTGAGAGGTGCTGTATCTCGGGGTGACCTCGTGCTTGCTCTGGGGTGGTCCCCACTTGCTGCGAGGCACGCTCTGCGCCGTCAGCCAGGGTGGCTGGCCGGGTTCCGGTGTCGCCTTTCCCCTTCCGGCCCCGGCCCTGCTGTCAAGAGTGGAGCCGGGCAGCCTCCACTGCTGCCCAGGCCGTCCGCCTCTCCACTCCGCCACCCCTGCTCTGCGCACCCTGGGCCCCGCGTGAGGTGCGGCACCTCCGCGACTGTGTGCTGGTCCAGTTGTCCATCCGCAAACCCTGGGGAGCCTAACCTCGACACGAGGTCCTTCTGGGCTGCTTTTACCTGAAAGGCCTGCTTGCTGCCTTCTTCTGGAGGGAAGGACGGTCGCAGACCCTGATCCTGGCCCACGGGATGCAGGTGGGACATCAGGACTGGACCTAAGGAGAAGCCGGGGTGGGGGTGCCCCATGAGCTGGCCAGGCCGCCAGGCCGTGGGTCAGTGGCTGGGTGAAGCACAGCCCGCTGCGCCCGAGGATAGGAACCACGCAGCCTCCGGAGTGGGCAGTAGGGGCGCCAGTGTGCACGCTGGTACCTGAAGCGCTGAGGGTGTGCAGGAGCCCGGATGCCGCACAGCGCTGCACACCCGGCCGGACAGAGCAGCTGAGGTTGGGTACCGACGCATCTGTGAAAGCCAGCGTCACTGCTTAGAGCCAGATTTCCTTTTTTTTTGAGACTGGGTCTCACAGAGTTGCTCAGGTGGCCTTGAACCTGCCCAAGAGCTGCAGTAGAGGTTTGCTGATGGTGCAAGCCAGCCCTGCTTCCGGACCTGGGGTGGAAGGTGCCTCGTGCCTGAGTGCACACTTGCATGCTGGGAGCGGGCAGCCGGGGCCGTAGCTGAGAGCCACACAGCGGCTGGGAGCCCAAGGGCAGGGGCACAGCTCCACGGCCCTGCAGGTCAGGCCCCCACTGCAGGAGCCAGGGAAACGCTGCCCCATTGGTGTGGCCCACCACACGCTCTGCCCGGGCATCCTGTGGTGGTCTCTGGCAGCAGGGCCGGGCTGTAGGCCATCATGTGCCAATCCTCAGACCTTAGGGAAGGGACAGCCGCTGCGTGAGCAGTGGGAGCCGTACGTTGTGTCCGCGGAGTTGTGCTCGGTCCGGGTGTGCACTTGTCCGTGCTGAGACGGAATCCCCCACCCGGCAGCAGCGGTCATTGCACACAGAGATGCCGAGCGGCCTCTGAGGGGGATCAGAGGGACCCTTGCAGACACATGTCTGCGACACTGTAAGAGTGATGTCCGCGTGTCCTCTCCAGAGCCGCTGGACAGGAAGTAGCTCAGGTTCAGACGTGCTTGGGAGACGCACCCGGGGCTGGCAGGGGCTGTGTTCTGTGAGGCGCGGGAGCCAGCCGAGCCGAGGAGGCCCACACTCCCGATCTGCGCGTCTTGTCACCGGGCGCCGAATGACCGCTCTTCTCCCCATCCCGCAGGCCATGGATCTGGAGGTCCCCGTGCTGGCCAGGAACATTCCCGGGAACGCCGCTGTGGTGACGCATGGAGTCACGGGGCTGCTGTTTGCAGACCCACAGGTGAGGAGGCGCTCCGTCCCGGTGCCCGCGTGTGTGCTGCACGTCTGTGTGTGCGTGGAGAGCCCTGTGCTGCCGCTGCCTCATCCTAGTGACGTCTCGGAGTCCCCAGTGTGCGTCCCACGCAGCCCGGTGTGGCATCTGTCCCTGAGTGCTGCCGCAGGGTGGCCAGGGAGGAGGCGGGGAGCTCAGACCTGCTCTGCTCTGAGCAGCTAGAAAGGCTGCGAGTCACCTCACCTCCAGGGGCTCCAGCTCCTCACCGTGGAACCAGGCTTGTGGGGTGCAGCCTTGTATCTGGGCAGCATCTGCCAGCCTTCAGAACACACACATGCCCTCACTTCTGCCCCTGAAACAAAGGTAAGAATGGGCAGACACGGGTATGTGGAGAAGCACGAACCTGCATTGGAAAATAAACAGGCCATGCAGCCGGCAGAGGGCGCTGTGGGCCTCGCGGTGACCCCCGGGACGGGAGGGCCTCGGGCTCGCAGGGCGCCCACGGCCCTGTCACTCAGTGTAAGGCGCCCAGTCGGCTCCAGGGGCGCGGGGCTGCCCTCGCGAGCGTCGCTGATCTGCATTTGAGACCCTTGGTCCCTTCGCAGGGCCGGGGCACTGGCCGAGTCGCCGCCGTCTCTAAGATCTGTTTTCTTGAGCCGGCTCCAGGCTCCCGGCTGGGGGTGAGCAGCGGCTGAGGGAGCTGGTGCCGGGTGGGAGCCTCGGGCTCAGCACAGCCAGCTTCACCGGTGGGCCCCGCCCAGACACTAGAGCACGCGCTCATTCAGAAACACAGGGGTTAATTTAAAAATTAGAACGTCTCGAACACTGAAAATTCTGTGGTTAAACTGTCCTGTAGCAGCTGCTGAGTCCAGGATGGCGTCCCTCTCCCGTCACGGAATGCTAGGTCCCTCCTTTCGCTTCCGGCTTATGCAGCCACAGCCTGAGCTCCAGGGAGGTGCAGCTCAGCTCCCTGCGGAGAAGGGACGCTGGTCCTCACACGCTCCGCCGCTGGGAGGGGCGCCCTGGCCCGGGGAAGGGCAGGAGAGCGAGGAGAGAGCGGGGACCCCCCCGCCGGATGAGTGCTGTCCTGTGACAGAGCCACCGAGGGCCCAAACTACAGCAGTGGTGAGGCCACCAAAGCAGTCACTGGCCGGGCTACCACCAAGGCCTGCGTGGGCCAGATCGCCTCAGCCAGACGGCACCGCCGCGCCCAGCAGAGGGGTCTCCCTGTCTCTCCAAATCCAGGGTCCGCTTACTCCTGGCCCAGCTTCCGAGCACAGATCAAGCCTGATCGCCGTCCTGGTGACGCGGGAGTGGTGCCCTGGGTGGGGATGCGCGGCCCGAAGCCCTGGCCCTGTGAGGTCTCCAGCCCGCCACCCGTCACTCCGGGCTCAGGCCGTCTCTGCGGTGGCCGGCCTTGTTGGAGCTGTTGGACCTGGTCCGCCCCCGCGCTCCCAGAGGTTACTGCGGACGTCTTCTGATTTCCAGCACTTTTGTGTTAGTTTTACAAAGGCTGTTTAAAAAAACAACTTTTCTGGTTCTACCTGGGGCGGGGCTGCATTTCTTAGCACTCTGAAGTCGTGCGCTAGACACGGATGTCGCACATGGTTTGGTTTTGTCTTCTTCATAGTCGAGATCAGACTGTACCCAGCAGAGGCCAGGAATGATGCTTTGAAAACAAACAGATGCTTTAGCTAAGTTGGGACTGGGGTCGAATTCAGCTTAGGGGAGAGTGACCTTAACTGCGCTTGGCCGCCAGCGTGGCGAGATTAACTTCAAGCACGTGTCCTCCTAGGTGTTAGAACCAGCATGTCGTTATTAAGGAGTGTCCACGCCCATGTCAGGTCAGCGGCCTTGCAGGTTAAATTCCTGCACTGTAAATACCATTTGGATAACCGTAAATGCTCTTTAGAGCCATGCGAGATCTCGAGCCGGTCGCTCTGCTTTAGATTTTATACCTGAATTGAGAATATAAAGGCACCTGACCTTTAAATGTAGGCTAGAGGTCAAAGGCAAAAGGGTTCAGAGACTGGGGGTTGGGCATGCAGGGGGGCCATCTGTGAGGCTTTAGGGCAGCACCTCAGAGCTGAGTGGGCCAGCCCCAGCCCCAGCCCCAGCCCCAGCCCCAGCCGCCTTGGACTCACGGGACCAAGAGACACCGCGGTGACCGCTGCCTCTTTCCTCCTACAGCTGGGCTGGAACCCCGGAGAGGGGTGCATTTGAGGAATTGATGCAATTCACCGGGCATGGGGGATGGGGCCGGAGCTGCAGTGCCTCCTTTCCCTTGAGCCGCAGGGCGGACCCTTCCCTGCTATAGAAGCCCCTGGAGTTAGGAGTCCACGGCGCAGCCCAGCAGGGGCAGCCCGGAATCGCCTTTGGAGCCAGCTGCTCCCTGACAGGAGCGCGCAGGCCAGGCGTCCCCTCCCCACCCTGAACGGTGTCACTCCAGCACAGTTGGGCCTCACGTACCACCCTCCCCCCGGGCCTGCTGTCCCCGTGCCCTGTGCCTGGCTGCCACCTCCCTGGCGTCCTCTCTCAGCCGTGCGTGGAGTCAGCGTGTGGAGCCTCTGCTGTGCGTGTGCCCCGCTGCTCCCTTGCCCTCCGTCCCCAGCACTTTGTGCCCCGGCGCAGGAGGAGAGTCTGTCCCAGCTTTTGGGTTCCAGCCACCCCCTGCCCCGGAGCAGCGCCAGCCTCTTCCCTATCCACCTGGGAGGTGAAGGTGCCACAGGCAGCCGTTCTCAAACCGTGAAGGAGACGGGGAGCTGCTGGGAAAGCCGCCCGACTCGGACAGATGGGCGCTTTTGGCTTGGGAGACCTGGTGATCAGAGCCCTCAGGACTGGTGGATAATCTCTGTTTTCCTACTCCGCACCCCTGGAGAACTGCGATTTAAGGGGAGCTTTCCCAGCCCACTCAGCATCGATTTTTCATCACTGTAGCAATCCTGCGATTTCTCCTCTTAAGAAGAGCTGAGCTATTTCCCCCTGTATTTTACAGCTGCATTTTATAGCTTCAAAATTAAGATCCATTTGCCATTGAACAGAAGCTGTGAATCCATTTTCTCTCTCGGGGACGGACTCTTAAAGGGTAGCTCGAGCCTGTGGTGCATGCAGACTCTGTGTTTTAGGCAACCATAGAAAATAATTCGGAATATCAACGATGATGACAGCCAAGGTTCATTGAGTGCGTGTTAGGTCCTACTCCCTGTCCTCAGTGTTGCACATGATGGCCTTTTATTAAGGTCGACTTCTTGTTCTTTTTTATGCATTTATTTATTGTTTGGATTTTTGAGATAGGGTTTTGCTATGCAGTTCAGGCTGGCCTTGAGCTCACTGTAGAACCCAGCTTTCCTGGAATTTAAGGCTATCCTCCTGTCTCAGCCTCCTGGGTGCTGGGATTACAGGTGCGTGCTACTGCACCTGGCAGTTTTTTTTCTTTACGCAGCAGTGACTTTGGTGTCCGTCAGTGGCCTGGGCCTCCAGACTTTTGCCAGCCTGGGCAGGGCTCAGGTCTCTAGTTTCCTGCTTGAAATCCGTGCGATCCTGATCCTGTTTCCTGTCCGTGCTGTCCCTCATCTGAAGAGGGCGGTAACGTGTCTTCTGGGAGTGACAGAGAAGATGTAGGCAGGGGAGGCTCATTATTAGCCGAGCTGGGAACCTCGGGACGGCTTGCCCTGTGCTGGGTCCTGGGGGAAGGTGCCGAGGTGTGACCAGCCCCGGGGGGACTGCAGACGCCCAGCCTGCCCTGTGGCGGCCTGGGGAATGTCCCCTCGTGCTGACTTCCGGCCCCATTTCCTTGTGGAATCTAGACTTGATCAACGTTATTTCTCTTAACATATAAAACACTTCAACCCAACCCATGCTGCTGGGATAGCAGCTGCCCCCCCATCAGCCACCACACCACACATGCCCAGCGCAGGCGCTTCTCTGATTGACCGCATTTCCTGAAAACCCGAGGGGGCACAGGGGAGCCCGCGTGCCCGCGGTGAGGGCAGCCCATCTGTCTACGCGGACTCATCGCGAGGGTACCCTGCGCTTCCCTGCAGAGCGGGACAGCGCTCACCGAGCAGGGCCGCGAGTCACCCTGTAGCTCTGTCCCCAGGTGTGCTCTGGGACGGCCTGCCAGAGGGCGTGGGCCACGCAGTGCTGGCGCGGGCCTGTGGGCCCCCAAAGACGCTGAGCAGGGCTTGGTGGCCAGTCCAGCAGCGTGTGTGGGTCACGGGCTCTGGTGCAGTCCTCGATGGGTTTACACTCTGACGGCATAAAATTGTTCGCCTTGTAGAACGAGTTACTCGTACTCCAAGGTTTTATGTCCCGAAAGGTTCTGAGCAGCTGAGTCAGGTGTCAGTTTGAGACAGCAGATGCACCCAGTTGGGCTGGGATAATAGCTAAAGGTGTCCGGAGCCGGGGACAGCAGGTGCCTGCTGTGGTGGGCCGTGGTGCTCTGCTGGGGACAGGGCTCTCAGCAGGCTCTGGGGCAGCGCCTCCCCTGGGGTCCTCACCGGTCCGCAGGGGGCACTCCCGGAGCTGCCTGGCTGGGACCAGAGCCCCAGAGAGTCTGACCCGAGCCCAGCCCAGCGCTCGAGGAGTCTCCCCGTGGCTCAGGTTGTCCTTCCTCTCCCTATGCAGTTGCCAGTCCTCGGTCTGTGCCTCTGTCTCTCTGGTCTCTGTCAGAAAAGGGGAGGGGAAGGGGAAGGGGGGGCGGGCAGGGCAAATCCCCCTGGGCCCCGGAGCTCTGTGAGGTGCAGCAGGTACAGGTCTGGCCGCCAGGTGGGGCTTGCGCCTCGGGAACGGAACGGAGCCCCGGCTGTGCGGCCTCTGAGGCCTGGGAGCCACCGTGCTCTTCCCGGCCCTGGGCGCCGGCCTGCCTGGACCGCTAGGGGCGGAGGGAAGAGGCGGTTTGCTGCTCGTCTCCGGGCTTTTGCTCTGCCGGCCTCCGAGTGTGCATCCCGGGGCCTGGCCAGGGCACAGGCGGCCGGGCCGGGAGCGGGGAAGTGGGGGCCCGGGTTCTC